TTTTTCTCCTTCCCTCCCTTCATTTCATCCTTTCTTCCTTCTCCTTTCATTCCTTCTTTTCTTCCCCCTTCTCCTTCTCCATTCCTTCTTTCTTTTCTTGATACCTCCTTTCTCCCTTCCTCCTTTTCTCTCCCTCCCTCCTTCCCTTTTCTTCCTCCTCCTCTCCCTTTTTTCTCCTTCCCTCCCTTCATTTCATCCTTTCTTCCTTCTCCTTTCATTCCTTCTTTTCTTCTGTCTTTCTTTTCTTGCTTTCTTCCTCTCTCTCCCTTCCTTTTTTTCCTTCCTTAATCCTCACTCCCATCCTTTCTCTCCCTCCCTCTTTCCCTTCTTTTCTCCCTTCCTCTTCTCCCTTTTTCTTTCCCTTCCTTCATCCTTTCCTCCTTCTCTTTTCATTCCTTCGTTTCTTCCATCTTTCTTTTCTTGCTTCCTTTCTCTCTCTCTCTCTCTCTCCCTTTTCTTCCTTTCTTAATCCTCACTCCCATCCTTTCTCTCCCTCCCTCTTTCCCTTCTTTTCTTCCTTCCTCTTCTCCCTTTTTCTTTCCCTTCCTTCATCCTTTCCTCCTTCTCTTTTCATTCCTTCTTTTCTTCTGTCTTTCTTTTCTTGCTTCCTTTCTCTCTCTCCCTTCCTTTTCTTCCTTTCTCAATCCTCACTCCCATCCTTTCTCCCTCCCTCTTTCCCTTTTCTTCCTCTTCTCCCTTTTTCCTTCCCTTCCTTCATTTCAACCTTCCCTCCTTCTCTTTTCATTCCTACTTTCCTTGCTTCCTTCCTCTCTCCCGTCTTTTCTCCCTTCCTTCATTCCTTCTTTCTTTTCCCTTCTTCCTCCCCCTCCCTTTCTCTCCCTCCCTCCCTTCTTTTCTTCCTCCTTCCCTTCCTTCATTTCTTGCTTCCTTCCTTCCTCTCTCTCTCTCCCTTCCTTCCCCCGCCTTCTCCTTCTATCCCTTCCTTCCTCCCTCCCTCCCTTAAATGCTCTGCTCGCGGGAGAGCAACAAGGCAGGAGGGGGGGGTCTCTCCATTGCTTCCCCCCCCACGGGACCCCCCCTTCTGACCTCCTGACTCTCTCCCCCCGCCTCCCCCTCTCCCCCAGTTCCAGATCGACTCCCTGAACCCCCAGTGGACCTCCTCCCTCTCGCTGGGGGTCATCGGCAGCTCCCCGGAGCGGCTCAACTTCCCGGCTACCGCCTGCTCCCTCAAGCGCTCGACTTGGCTACTGCAGCGGGACTCCGTCTTCCAGAACTGCCTCAAGGTGCGCCGGGAGAGGGTAGGGGGGCGCTGTTTGGTGCGGGGGGTGGTGGAGGGGAAACAGGCCTGGAATTGGGGAGCTGAGCCTTGGGGTTCGTGCCGCCCTCCCCTCTGCAGATCTGCGAGAACTACGGGCCCAACCTGGACACCTTCCCCGAGGGGACGGTGCTGGGGGTCTTGGTGGACGCCAGCGGCTGCCTTCACCTGTACATCAACGGCGTCGACCAGGGGGTGGCGGCCCAAGACATCCCCAGCCCTTGCTACGTCCTGCTGGACCTCTACGGCCAGTGCGAGCAGGTGAGGGGCCCTCCGGGAGGGAGGGAAGGTGGAAAGGAAGGAAGGGAGAGAAGGGGGAGGAGGGAGGAAGGGAGAGAGAGAGGAAGGAAGGAAGAAANGAGAGAGAGAGAGAGAGAGAGCGTTCTGCTCCGCGGGAATAGGGGGCGGGGGGCGCCGTTTCAGCCAGTCCTCGACTTACAACCGCTCTTCCATCGCTAAGCGAGTCGGCGGTTGCTTCGTTCTGCCTCGTTCCTTTGCACGGCTGTTAAGTCAGTCGCCCGTTCGTTCAGCGCATCTGGCTCCCCCCCTGCATGGACTGGGCTGGTCGGAAGGAACGCCCAAGGGGGATAGTAGCATCATCCCCGGGGCCGCTCCGACCGTCATAAGTGCGTGCCAATTGCCTGAGTTTTGATCCCGTGACCTTAGGGATGCTGCAGTGGTCTTAAGTGTGAGAATTGGTCGTAAGTCTCTTTTTTTTTCCCAGTGCGGTCACTCAAGGGATGGTCGTAAGTCGAGGACTGGCTGTAAACAAATTAAATAGCATTGATTCAGCTTTTTTCCGGTGACATCCATGTGACTCCCCTCTCCCCAGAGCAGGGAGGCAGGGGATATTGGGGGGGTCCCCTGCCCCTCTTTTTAAGGGGCTCCATCTGGTGGGGCCCGGAGGAAGGGCCTTCTCCACGGTGGCTCCCCTCCCTGTGGAACGCCAGCCCTGCGGAGATGCCATTGGCTCCCACTTTGACAGTCTCTTCAAAAGGTCCCAAGCCACGATTTTGCCCAGGGGCCTGGGGGACACCCCCACACACACGCCAAGAGGGGTACAGAGCCCTTGGGATGGTTTGGTTGCGGGGAGGGGCTGGACAGGGGGGAGATTCGTTGGGGTTCTTAACCTGAGGTTTGACTTCTGTAAAGCCCTCGGTTGTCTAAATAGAGGGATATCGTGAGGATTGGATGGATGATGGGTGGATGGATAGACAGACAGACACGGTGATTGGGAGGGAGGGAGGGAGGGATAGACAGACAGGTAGATCTTTTTTTTCAAATAGGTAGGTAGATTAGAGACAGATGCAGATAATATGAGATAGATGATAGATATGGACGGACGGATAGATCTTTTCTTGAAATGGTAAGATGGACAGACAGATAATACGAGGTAGGGAGGGGAGGAGAGAGAGATACTGGGAGACAGAGACATAATAGGTTATTAGAGAAATGATGGTGATATAGATGAGAAAAAAGAGAAGATGGATGGATGGATGGATGGATGGATGGATGGATGGATGGATGGATGGATGGATGGACGGACAGATCGACAGAAGGACAGATATAGATACAGACAGAGACAGATAGATGGGAGAGAGAGAGATAGGGATATATAGAGATAGATAGGTAGAGAGAGAGAGAGATGATAGATTGGATGGATGGATGGATGGATGGATGGATGGATGGATGGATGGATGGATGGACGGACAGATCGACAGAAATAGATACAGAGAAATAGATGAGAGAGAGATACGGATGGATAGATAGATATAGATAGATAGATAGATAGATAGATAGATAGATAGATAGATAGATAGATAGATAGATAGATAGATA